GGTTTGAAGAACTTGTCCGTGCTGCCGGTAAATGTCAGCTCAGAATTGTTCAAAGCTTTTTTCATTTTCATTTTCAAGCTCCTAGCTAAGAAAAAGCTTTTGTCGTATAATTAGGTTACGTTGTATTGTTAGCGATAGAAATTTTCCCACGTTTGCCTTAAGCAACGTCCTCAATAAATAAATAAGTAAATAAATAAATCGTCCTACATATTGGACTAAAAAGTAAGTTGGAGCGACATGTTTTAGTAAGTGCGTGAGTAAATGAAAGAGAAATAAATGAATATAAAGGTTAATCATCGAATCTTTTCCCTTTTGAATGGATTCCCCAAAATTGTATTCATACAAGTCGCGAGATTAGGAAAAATAGTTCCGCTGGGACCATTGAGTTTGTGTGCATTTTTATTTTGGACTCTATTTAACTTTTCATGAAGAAGATCTGAACGGGCCATATCAAGAATACTATAAATAAATTTCTCATGCTAGCAGCAATTCAAAGGTCGTCAAACAGTACAGTGAGCTGGACGAGCTGAAGTAGTGAGGAGTGTGTGCAAATGGCAGAAGACTCGTCGAGACCAACACTTGGAAGGACATTTCGTGCTTAACGAATGAGAAGTGGTTGTTTAGATGAGCTGCAGTCGGCTTAAATAAGAAAATCTTCTGTAGGAATCTTCTAGAAGTGTTGTGCTATGAGTATGTGGACAGAAGAGCTTTGTGAACAGCAGAGGATCGTAATGTCGGAAACTACCACTTGCGATTGCGATTATTCCATCGACTGTGTTGACTTGGCTGTTGAAGTCAGTCGACAGCGGGCTCGTCGTGTCACCGATCCCACTTGATTCTATTGGCAAAGTGAATCGTCGGCAAGGAGGAACATTGAACAAATCTCGCCAACAGAACTGCCAAATGCCTTTGCCGTCGCTTTCGAGAAGTCGAGTAATCTAAACCATGGAGCTCTGCCACAAAGGCACAATGAGCAGTGCGTAGTCATGGCGCTCGAGACAAGTGCCGTCCACTCTCCTCCTGAGACTTCAAAATAGCCAATTAATTTAGAATTGCTATATGAACAATGCTCCCAGATTGGATCATACTACAGGAAAATAGCACCTGGCAAGATTATGCGGGATTGTCGGAAAACATGAGCTCATTCCAGTCTTTGAGGAAGCAACATTCAGATTTGTTGAGTGGAACTGAACGAGGGCACGAAAGTGATCATTTGTCACTATCGGACACCGACCCCGAGCTCAAATCCTGCACTGAAACTCGTCCAACTTGAGCAGACATACTCGTCCTCCCCAAAGTTTAGTCAGTAGTGGCCAAATTTAGCACACGGTAGCCAACAACTATTAAAACGCTAGTTTATATTTCAGTCTCTCAACTTAATTACTGTGTTCAGAATGGATAAGGTGGGTAGATGCTTCTCAAAAACGGAAGGTGATAAAGTACACCATAATCATTTTTATAGCGACACTCTTCGTCGTATACTTCGGAGATTATTAGTTTTCTATTGTTCCTGGTAATGTGCGTCATGAAGTCGCCATCGCTATTCACTCTCATTATCTGTCGAAGGCGTGCCTAATAAAAAGTCAGAGATGAATGAAAAGGCAGATTTCGAGAGAAATGCTTCGGTAAGCCCAAAACTGTCGGAATCGCACCTTACCAGTTAGTACAGATGGATCAGAGTGAGTCGAACAATGTAAATAGATCTTGCGATTAGATCACGGGTTTGAATGTCGCTGATCGGTTCTATGACGGTTAGTTGGCGCTCTTTTTGGACAACACGAGTCGTGCTACCAACTCTGCGCCCTTTTGTTAAGTAAGCCCTAGACTATAATGAACTGCAACGCAGCATTAGAAGGCACATAGAATCAGTGCAAAGTCATTGCTCCATTTGCCTTCTAATGCTTGGGAGAGATTACTTCGGTAATTTATGCCAACAAATTTCTTGAGCTGTTCAATGCACAATTATGTGGCTGGCAAGCGTCTGGTGATTGATGGATGGAGGGCGAAGAGTGGAATGGGATATTATGCACAAGCGGTCTTTGTTATTCTTACTTTTGTTTACAGTGAAATCCTTTTACCCACTGCCAAAGTATTTCCACGAGCTCCTGTGATGAAATCGATTATCAACACAAAGTACGTCATTGCTCTATGGAAGAACTTCATCGAAAAAATGCTGACTATCCCGGTACTCGTATGGCATCCATAGGGACCTGACCGCTTACCATCTAGCTCAAGCGGTCATCATAAAATCGTTCTTACGTCGTTATGGGCTTTAAGCGATGGAAACCCTGGACTACCCTTTGCACTTGCGTTCGTCTGGACATCTCAACTCTAAGAATTGCCCTTTCCAGCACATTGATTGTCGCCAACCACGCTCGTACTTCTTCATTAGCGAAGTTCAAGTCTCGGAGGCAAGGGTGCTGCGAAAGAAGTGGGAACGGAGTCAGAAACGTAGTTCAGCTGTCCTGGTCTTCTCTGCCCCACAATCCTCTTGAATGTTCTTCACGAAACCGATCCTTCCGCGCATCTCTATCTACTTGTTCATGGTCATCTCCGGATTTAGGCTTACGTAGTCGGGTCCTCAACCGATTTTCTTCTGCTAAACGTAAATGGGGCATAAATTCTTTCTCCACTAATATTATTTACGAAGTTTTCCATCAAAAAAGTCAACACAAACAGCGTCTTGCGTTGTCGATTGATCTAAGATTTGGTTCTCCTTCTCAGTGGTCACGGCAATCGAGCTATTCAAGGAGAGAAACCCCTTGAAACTCTTAAAAAGGAGTATGCTAGTAATATTGGCAGTTATGCCCTACAGTACTAGTTCCGCCTCTGATAGTAACGACTTAGAGGAGATCCAAATGGAGATCAAGACCGAATTTTCCCTATGGTTTTGACTCGATCAACTTAGAGTACACAAGTTATTTGAGGGATTGAAAACTATAGCCAGTACCCCAAAGTTTCAGTGAAAAATACTCGTTGCCTGGCTCTCACGCATTTTTTATTTGTGAGTTTTCACAGTAAACAACTTTCGATTGCAAAAACAAGGATGTGAGCCTTGGAAAACCTCATATTCGCAGCGAGGATAAACACTTTGGTGTAGATCATTTCTCATTTTCATAATGATCTCGATTTCCATTTGCTGTGCTCCGTTGAACTTGCCGAAAGCTATACATAACGAGAAAATGCGTAGAAAATCGGACGTTCGCTGGCTGCCAGGTATCTCTTCCAGATGTAGGGGAATTTTTTTTAAAAACATGCTTGTGGATATGGATTTTGAGTAGGATCGTAGGACATTTCTTTTGAGACAGCAGTAATGCAAGTGAATAGGTTAGTGCCAAAGCATTGCTGGTTCTACGATCTATTCCCTTTCCTAAGGTAGTGTCAACTTAGGAGGACGGAATGGGAAGGCCAGGTATAAGGGAGATAACTGACTGGACGCGTTTGATCCATGGAACTGGTCTTCGCAATGGCATACTTCACTATGCTCGAATGATGTCCTTATCGGTTGCTGTTGGCGTTTCCTTCCTACTTTCCGCAGTTGACAAGTAAGGTGCTTGCCGGCTTCCAGGCATATTCTCAAGTGTGAGGCATGTCTGTGAAGACAATTTTTCTGATGGCTTGGGAGAGATCTCCCTCCAGTTTTCATGTGTGGTTGTGTCTGCCATCAAACGTCCAATGCCTCCAACCTCATACAAGTTATCCCAAAAACCGCAGGTATAATCGTTCCACTTAATCCCTCTTGATGCAATATGAAAGGGATTATTTTATTCAGAGAAAATGTGGCGCTAGAAAAATGTAGAAGACCTATAAGGAAGCCTCTATAAGTGGTACTATCCGATCAGCTCTGGGGAGCTCTGCTTTTTCATTCCCTTTGTCATCTCGCGGTCATCTTTGGGGTAATAGGTGGATTTCTATGCTCCATTCTCGATGGTCAGCCCATTCTTTCTCATTTAAAGATGATAATGACTGGATACATACGGTATGTTCATTTTCAGTACAGTGCCGTCAGGGCTGCAATTAGTCTATTACCCGGTAGTCGAATGTACCGAACCTCAGCTGTTTCGTGCAGGGAAATATATGGGAGAGGGAGATCTAAGCAGCAAGCCTAACTTAGCAATCCAGCATGTGCTTTTTACGTAGACACCGGGAGAACGATTCGGACCACGAAAACCGGTCAATCTTGAGTGATGTAAGGTCTTTTGTCAGAAAACCACAGCTTTGTCCCTTTTTGAAGACAACTCCCTAGCTTCTACATTGAGAGCGTAGTGTAGAATTTTCTGGATCTAACAAGAGGCGTAAAAACAGAAGTTTGAATATACTGCAAAAAACGTCTATAGAGTGAGAGATGAAAACTGAAAGCGGAGTTACATGACTAATAAGAGAGAAAGGAAGTGGGCGGAAGCGCAAAATGGCACGCCTTCTACCTGAATGCACAAAGCTGAATAAGCTCCAACCACGGCTGGCAGTTGTCAAATTTAACATTAAAAGTCATCAAAGAGTTTCTAGAAAGGCTGAAAGGCCATTCAACGAGAAAACGGGAACTGCGTGAGGGGCGTCGAGATCGGAGCTTTTAGTCTTCCCACGAAGATGACAGTTAGTCGCTCAGCACCCTAAGGCTATTCACGTCTTGGCGGGCCGCGCACTTTGCCTAATCTTTTTACCGTACTCCAAACATGAGAAGGGTCCTGGAGCGATTTACATATCATGATATTCTTCAAACTAAAGTGTTTTAGAGCATGTCATTTGATGAAAGGGCACTCGGAACATCGATCAAACGCCTGGCGACCGGAAGAAGTCTACAGGTGGGCAACATGAACCTTGCATGAATATCCTGGTTTCTGTAGGAGGCTGTTGAGAATACCCAGGAGAAACTTCATTGCCACTAACCTATGAAATCTTCAGAACGTGTGTACAAGCTTTGGAGGGCCGATGTTCGCGTCGAAGCAAACTCATTCACGAGCAAAAGCTCGCTGTGAAGGAGTTCATAGCAAAGGTATTGGATTCCATCGTTCATTTCCTAGTGGTATTCCACCTATCTACAACCATTGGGAACTTGTACTTTGTTTGTTCTAGGTCGAAATTATTCTGCTGAATGAGTTGGGTAGAAGCCTTGAAGCGGCAAACGAGCCCGACCGACGATTGATTTCACGGTTAAATAGGGTATGTGTTGGAATTATTGATTGCGCCCTAATCAATAATTTGGTTTTCCTTCTCAGGCTCTCACATCATACGATTCCAATGATATTGGAGTCTATCATGTGCCGTCGCCATCTCGACCCGCATGGAAGACTTGGAATCTGGACCAAGAAGACCCAGTCAGGTCAGCGTTAGGATAATTTTAAGTCTTTTACGGAGTGTGTTTTTGAAGACACGAATGTTGGCGAACGAGCTTGAGGAAGAATATAAGAGCTGCAGTGACGTGATTTCGCTGCATAGTTCTCATGATGAAGCAGTAGGAGTCGAATATTCGGAAGTAGCGATCTTATCAGTCTGACCAGTAGTAAAACCTTTACTTAATACTGATCTTCGACAATTAAGTGATAATATCCTCGAGTTGCTTGATTGTCCATGCAAGTACAAAAACCATAGGGAAATGACGCGAAAAGATGCTCAACGTTGAGGATAATGTGAAAAATCTGGAAGTGGGCCAAACGGTTCTACGCTTTTCAAGAGAGACTTTGCCAGCGTCTCTTTAGAGAAACAGTGTAAAATTCAACTGCGCTGGATTGCTGATAAGATCGGCTCTATCACTTTTGCATGCACTCTCTGTCCGAACTGTACTCACTGCACTGCATGGGCATTCTTCTTTACGATAGGAGAGATGACAAGGAGAGAGATGGGATTACTCTCAAGTTGTGGGTAATGTTAACGATATTAGGTAAAAAATGATGATAGCCAGCAAACTAAACAGCAGGTATAACTAACACGCGTTCATGGAACAGCCGTTCTTCGAAGTTTTGTTTTTGTTATTACGGAGACTGCCAATGAGTGATGTATGCATGTCATTTAAGCTTTCGTCATCACAGCCACAGCGATTCATGACAAGAGGATTACGCTGATTTTGCTTGAAAATAAGTCAATTATTGAAAGACTCTTACCCTTAGTTGACACCTGTGACAGTTTGACCACTTCTATTATATTTACATGATACAGTGACCAAACAATGGAGATTCTTTTGGAGACGGCAAAATGTTGGTTCAGCAAGGAAGGATGTTCCAAAAAAGACTTCAGGTGTAACTTATGAACCAAGAGTAAAAGCTGTTAACTAAGGAGCGCGTTTATTGATGTTGGGTGGTGAAAATCAAAACCATTGTTGACAGTTCCTTCCTTTCACTGTAGCTCTAGATGGAACCTAGTAGTTCGACAGAAGAGGAAGTCTTGGGAAAAACTCAATAAGTTAGTTGGGGTTGGGTGGCGATGGGTAGCGTGTCTTTGCATGCATTGGTGCATGCTTAAGTTAGGTGTAGATTTGATGGCTGGTGTGTTTTTCTTCATCAACATAACAAAAATGTAAAGTCAATTGGGAGAGATGAGCCCTACGCAGCTTCAGGCCGAATTCGAAATGGGGCATGCACCTGTTTGCTGAATTGCTGCGTAAGATGGTGGCAAGTGATTGGCCTCTCCCTATATTCGGAGAACGAATATCAACGAAAAAGCTACTGATGATTATGACTGATGAAAATTATAACCCTAGTGAAAAGAGTTGAGTCAGCATCTTTCTGATGTTGGAAGGGCGAAGGACGGTAGTGGAGGGCTTGACATCAATTCCGAGAGGATATGTGTCTTTAAAGTACGGAACACTCTGTTTCCTCGAACGATCGCTGTTAGAAATGATCAGTACCCTTGGCTGATTGAGTTGTGTAGTAGGAGATCATCAGGAATCAGTCGAATGCAGCTGTTGTATTGAAGAATTGTGTAGAAGGAAATAGCATTCACCCATATTTTTCAATAGACTGATATTCCTTACATTTGCAGAATAATGCCCGCCATCCAGTGATTTGTTTTTTTAGAATGATGCAGGTAGTCGACACTGTGTCGGAACTACTGCAATTACCCCGCGAGGAGTCTTACGAGGTACATAGTCTTCAAACCTGCATCNTGGCTGATTGAGTTGTGTAGTAGGAGATCATCAGGAATCAGTCAAATGCAGCTGTTGTATTGAAGAATTGTGCAGAAGGAAATAGCATTCACCTGATATTTTCCAATAGACTGATATTCCTAACATTTGCAAAATAATGCCCGCCATCCAGTGATTTGTTTTTTTTAGAATGATGCAGGTAGTCGACACTGTGTCGGAGCTACTGCAATTACCCCGCGAGGAGTCTTACGAGGTACATCTTCTTCAAACCTGCATCAAGTTTTTAGAATTTCGCTAGGAACCCTTCACAGTTTCAGGAAGAGGACGTCCATTTGAAGAGTCGAGCTGAATGGAATCCACGCCATGCGGCTGAAGTGATAGCAGCATCTCTTGGCGCCAAGATTTCCACGGACAACTCAAGTCTCTTGTGAGTCAAGCAATGAATCTGTCCCCTTTTAGCAGATGGTCGTGTCCCTTGACCCTGACCGTTTAGCTCCCGAGCCACGTCTCCCGATCGGAAATCGGAAATGTCGGAAACGGACAGTCGACGGCGGGGTAACAGCGTGGATTCGTTCAAAAGGACGATGCCGTTGGAACCAAACGTGTTCGTGAGTCTCAAATGTATCAAATGCGTTCAAATCCTTCTTGTTACCCCAACGTCACATTGAAGGTTCGCGATCGTCCGTCAGCGATGTCATTTCGTGAACGCTCCGTTGCCTCGGATGACGCTCACACAATTCATAGTCTAGTAGGGTGAGTTGTGGAGGAACACTATCGAGAACCACGCGTAGAGCTGCATTGAATTAGATTTCACCGGAAATTCACTTTCCCCTCACTTGACTACGGTACTCCTTGAAAGTGGAAGCGCTTCCATGATTCTAGTGCTTGAGCAACTGGTTGAAAATGTTAGGGAGAACTCGGTGCTAGCACTCGAACTCAAGTACGAAGGAGCCGTAAAAGTTGCGCATCGTTAGGGCTATTCCGGGATTTACCCAGTTCGTCGTTAACAACTAACCAAAGAGAGTTCACCCGGTTGTTTTGTTGGTTACGGGAACGTCTTCTTCTCGCTGTTTTTTTCAAAATGAATTATAACTTCACTTTAATTAAAAAGCTGTGGATCAAGCTGGCTTGGTAGTTCAGTCGAGATTAGCATAGCGGATAATAATAAGTGCGGTGCAGAAGTGCAGCGAAGAAGGAGGTAGGAGGTGATTGAATAAAAATGAATCAAAAAGTTTGATCGGTGATGAAATAATGGTAGTTTTGGGTTACCTACTGCTGAAGAACTCGGCTACGGAGCGAACTTCCAAGCTCAAAAGCTTGTGTTTAAAAGCAAATACAACAAGTAACCACTAAAAAAATGTTAGAACCCCTTCGGATGCAGCAATAAATAGCCTTCCCTTCCCCTTCTCCCAAATACTGGCGTATTTAGCGAGTGTAGCCGAGATAATGGAAGCGTTGTCCTTTGCCGAAATCATCCATGTGCACTTCGATTTCAGGATTCCCTCTATTTGGTGCACGCATCGTTAATCCTCTTATATTTTTGAATCACTGGAACGGCTTGGCTTGGCCACTTTCCCTAAAATTTCTGCTCCCTATTCAGATTTGGATTTTCATCGATTTTGAGGCAAAAATTCAATGCTTATTCCCATTTGTGATGAGCTACAATAAGAAATAGCAACTAATAACACTAATGATAACAGATGATAGTAAAAACAATACAAATTAAAGTTATGTTGTTTAACTCTTTAATTTTCGACTGATTAAAATGGTGATTAAGTGCGTGCTTTAAGTTTTCCTCGGCTATACCGAATAGTTTCAAGCACAACGGGCTAACTGAAAGAGGAAAAAGTCGGCTGATTTCCGAATAACTGCCTCAGGGGCATCACAAGCGTGGAAAGTGTCGAATGATGTCCTACATTTAGCCATGCATGATATCACATACACAGAGCGATGATCTGTCGATGATGAAGTGGTTGGAATCGCAAGGGCACGGAAGAGCATGACGAGATGTCATTTACTCGGAAACGGGTGCATTAAAAGTACTGAAAGCGTTCAAAGGTGAATAAGGATGAGGATTCAATATTGTGGCTCCATGAAATGAAAAGCCATACGGCAAACATAATAGATGTCTTGGAAGGGCTGTGAGCTCGGGTGCGCGTATGGGGTAAACTGGTGAGCTTGATGATGGCTTATGATATCAGATTACATATGATTTGGTCTCCGCCTTCCCGCTACTTCTCCGGAGGGCATTAGACCGAGACAAGCTCCACAGCGAAAACACGTGGTCAGGAGGAAGGTTCATAACAACTTGACAACTTGGTTTCCTTCTCGACTGCTCTGGGCTGGCCACTCTGGCGATCGCTGTTGCTAACCGAGGACGGCAACGTGTACCACACAATTCCATTGTCTGGTTTTGTGTGTTTACCATGTGTTCTCTGCTACTGAACTAGTGCGAATTGATTGCAGCAGGGCGGTGAGGCGGTTTCTGATTCGGGAATGTTTCCCCCGCTCCAGCCATGTCACTTACGAATGTATTGTTATGCGCCCTATTGGGGTGCCCTACTCAGACGAACATCTGCGGACAGCCGACTTCCCTATCGCATGGAAATACACCTGGAGATTTTTGTTAATTCACATAGCTGGCTTTGGCTTTTGTTTGGTGAAGTGGATGTTGAGGTATACTTACTAGGAAAAAATTTCCTCAAACTTTTTTCTGTCCAGTAGTTTCTCTAACAATTCGAGGTGCTTCTGATGACCACTAGGTAAAGATCCGTGTCTGTTCGATTTGCTGTTGAGATATGTTCCTCCTCTTTCAGTTTTCTTGTTGAGTACTGCATATTTGATTGATGGACTCCACCCAGATGTACGAAGTCGGTATCACGGGAATCGTCGTGCTTCTGATCATGTTAATTGCGAGAAAGTTCGGGAGCACTGACACTGGCTTAGATCTCAGTTTGACAATTCTATCATAGAACTTTTTTTACGGAGAGAACAGAAGACCTGCAGTGTCCATGTGCAGCGCAGTGTTCGGGAAGTTCGGCAGGGCAATTCGAGTCGGCTACTTCTTTCTCATCGGTTTATTGATCACAACTGTGTGAAGGGTGTCTTGATGTGCATTAACTGGGTGAACTCGTTTACATAAATGAATTCATGTCGTGGTATTTATGCCGTTTTGCTCCTTTGTAAGCGGCCTTCTGAATCAAATCTATTGAATGGGTTGGTCAGGGTGTCATGGAGCTTCTATGTGCCGAGC